CAGTAGAGTACAGTAGAGTACAGTAGAGTACAGTACAGTACAGTAGAGTAGAGTAGAGTACAGTAGAGTAGAGTAGAGTACAGTAGAGTAATACCAGGCTTTTATGTTGTTCTGTTAACGTCAGTCACAGTCACTGTTTGGGCTGCAGCTCTAAACTGCATGAGTGATGATGCTTTGAGTTTGTTCTCTGGTTTCAGGCTTTGGGGGAATTTGTTCACGTTCCACACCAACGATCACCGACCATGACACTAAAAAACAGCTGCAGAGTGGTGCACACAGTTAGATAACCAAAAGTGCCTCTTTGACTTTAACTTATCTCCTTAGTGAACATCACTCCATCCACCGTCACCATGCATCCTCCTGAGACATCTGCAAGTTCCTGTTGCTTAGTAATAGTCCTCAGTGCTATGATTAAAGTGAGCTTCAAAGCTCTGGGCACGCTCATTACTCACTGCTGGCTGCATAATGAATCCCAGGGAGGAAGCTGATTAAGAACGCCGTCCTTCATAATCACAAGTCAGGAGCAAATCAAACTCAACTCATGTTGGCGTTCATTGGAAGAATCTGTACCCTGGCCAGCTGCAGAGGGTCACAGAGGTCACCTGAGGTCTCAGCAGTCTGATATCTGCTGGAAAAACAACCTGCTGACCTTTTCTGGACGGGCGGTGTTTTCCTCGTGATGCTACGAGCTGCCAGCAGCCTCATTTGCTCTGCTTTCATGTCTCACAGTCCACACAGATTAACTTCTCTTTGATGTGTCTTTTGGGCTGACATTAAAGGTGCACAGCTTTGAAAGGCATTCTATTTCATATTAAATATTGACTTACAATCATATTCATTACACAGGCAACTGAGGATGGGCAGCTAGCTGTGCCAGCAGGTATGATATCAGACTATAGTACATATGGTACTATAAAGATCAGGGTTGGAAATCTGATTTAGGTTCTAGAAAAAAAGACGACATTATCAATATTAAATTGTGTATCCACAATTTGTTCCTATTTTGTTAATGATTTTTGGGATTCACCATTGTTTTATTGTTTTTGCTCTTCTCTGGGGTAAGAGAACATTTATCAGTCCACAAATTCTTTGTTATTACAGGAAACTGAATTCTGTTGCACCAAAACTTTAAAATCCAATTTAAAATGTGATCCAGTATAAACTTACACTTACAGGATCTATTGTCTGCAATGGAATATAATATTCTATACATAGGTATGTTTTCATTTGTGTGTAATCACCTGAAAATAGGAATTGTTGTGTTACCTTATAATGAAAGGTTTTATCTGCAGGGAGCGGGTCCTCTTCTACACTTGCTGAATACACATATATATACTGAGACAATGTTGTTTTTCTTTTATTCTAAGTTCACACTGAACTGAACCTTTCTAACAAACAGAAGGAATGTGGTGTTTGCTAATGAAGATGCTCCTCTTGTTATTAAAATTAGAGTGTGGTTTAATATCTACAAAGAGCTTCTGGGGGTGGTAGTTACTCAAGTGGCTTTTTGTGTAAACGTCAAAGGTTTATAAGAGCGTACGTGCTCAGTACATTGAGTCAAACTCTGTGCAGAGCTTAGACAGGCGGAAACCCCAGAGACAGATTCATCACAACCTGGATCATTTCAGCCAGAACCATCGGCATGGATAGATACTATTAGGGGTAATTAATTCATATTTAAATCTTACTAAGTTGATTTTGAAGAATAAATTCTAAGATTGGAACTTGTATTATGTAAGTTAATTTAATTGTAATTTTATTTCGTGTACATAGAATCATCAGAATCATTAAAATAAAATGCAGAAATTCAGAATTTACATTTTTATATATACTGACAAATTGCACAGCCCGCCTACACCATACTGCGCCATAAAAATCTTAACACATGCATTATATACATTTATTATACAATTTGATATATATATGCATTCATTCTAATTGTTATTGTTCATTATTATTTATTATGATTATCTTAGTTAATTTCCAGAATATCAGTCTTTTACATGTCATTTTTCTAATTCTGACTCTAATTTAATGCACAGCCTTAATGCACCATGAGTTTCACATGCACATATTTAATCTACATGTGAAAGCTCTTTGAATGTGCAGGGCCGGATAAAGCTGCTCAGACGACCTAATGGCAAAAAATTGCTGCTGGCCACCTAAAAACCTCCTGTTCCTCCGGCTCTCTTTACAGTTTGTGCAGTGTTCTAATGATTGGACCCCGGTTTGTGCGCAGCAGTCTGAACTGCAAGAACGCTAATTATCACACGTCAATTGCCACACAGAACTTGAGGCTTTGGGGGCCCATGGGCAGTTGCTCAATTGGCCCATCTGTGGTGTGAGACACTGCAAGCAGAAATCCGAGCTAACGCTTTCTTTACAAACCAGAACTGCAAGGCTGTCAACTGACTGGAGGCTGCTGGTCAGGCGCGGCAGCTCATACAGCTCCCTGGCATTTCTATTATCAGCCGCGTTGCACAACACGCCTTCGACTCAGCTGTGGAGCGTTGTGACTGGCAGGCCTGGTCAACGCCAGAGCAGGCTTAGGGAAAGTCATGGTGCGGGGGAGTGATGCATGAATGCACAGCGGGTGTATGTCGCCCTCGCAAAGCACTCAGCGGAGACGATGACAGGAAGTGGAGTCCCTGAGTGGATAGAGGAGACACAGGTGACGCACTGGGAGGAGGGTAATTAACGCAGAGCTTGCACGGAAACATCCTGGGCTCCCAAACATCACACCTTACATCTCAAACATATCGTAGTGTGTTTGCATGCTCAGAGCGTTGCATATGCTGGTCAAACATAAATGAATCCACGTTGATTCAGTCTCCTACACATATTAGTGCCTCATGTTAAAGCTGTAGCACAAATAAGGATCATAAAGTGTATTTACATGCCTCCGTATCCCAGCTTATAGATCAGGACTTCACCTGCATTTCAAGGTATCCAGAACAATGAGATATTAAAATTCAGGTAAACACATCCAGTATTGTGTGGAAGATGTACCAAGGACACACATTTGCCTGTAACATGGGCCTAGTTATAATACTAACCGCAAGTAGGACTTTGTCCTGACCTTGGGAAGCTTTTTCAGCTCTATTACTCCTCTAAACAGTCAACACTTTCACTCTAGTAAGCTTTAAAAGAAGGTACAAAATGAACACGTCCAAACACCATAAATTAGAGGTGAAAAACATTCTATTACAGTATTATGTCACTAAATATATATCATGATACAACACTTTCTGGGGATTGGCCTTCTTTTCCCAGAAGACATTGGGACATGGGAGCGTAGGAGAAGCACAGGTGATAAATGGTAAATTCAACTGAATTCCAGGTAGCTGCTTTAGGTTCAGGGTCCTGGTGTTGTTTATGATGTACAGACTTAATGGGACACTTTGATACACTAGAGACATTGTTCATGTTATTAGTAACATCTGTGATTTTCCTATTACAGGTCAGAATGTGTGCTCATTCAAAACTATGGATGGATAAAATGAGCATAGGGTGAGAACAGGGTTGGGCAATCGGATGAATATATATTGGCAATCGGCTGAATCCATCACCTGTTTTTTGGAACAATATTTGTGTATTTTGCGATTTCTGTAATTCTATTTTTCTCATTTAAATATCTGCCTCCACAGAATGAGAGCTGTGTCTCAGAGACAGACGTTCAGTGACACAGTACACACACTTAAAAAACAAGTAAGGAGAAACAGCTCTAGAGACAGAATATTTTCACAGCTAACTCTGAATTAAGGGTTCATTTCAACCAGTTGGATGACAGGGAATACAGTACAGGGGTGATTTACAGCGGCTCCAACCAGGACTCTGGGCACAGCAAAGACAGAGCAGGTTCAGGCCCAGACCAGAGAGAGGTCATGTGGCAGAGGAGCATGAGGGAGGTTGGGTACCACTGAATATTTCCACATCTAACAGACGGTCAGACGGTTAGCCACCAGAGTTGCTGATTGCCTGAACAGACTAACCAGGGAGGTTTTGGTGAGTTTTGGTAATTTTGTTTCTGTTGAGTTTGAGTATTTTACCATGAGTTAACAAGGCAAATAGGCATGTATTAATTTGGCTTAAAAGGTGTATGGTTGTATTGAAGAAAGTGGGTGGTGAATATTTCCTGTCTTTACATTTTATTGGGATTTTTTTGCTTATTATAAGCTAAGGGAGCTTGGAACTTTTAATGTATCGCCCAACCATAGGTGAGAACCAGAGGGGTGTAAGACACATTTGACCAACTGTACAGGACACCCAAAACAAAAAAATGACATGAACGGAACTTTAATTAGTATCATTGGTAACACCTTAACTGTTACCTGGTAACAGTTTACCCTAACATTTCATGTCACATTGGCTGCTGTGAAAAAGGTCTGTTGGTTTGAATTTACATGTGCCCTTTTGGCAGCAGAACGAACAAATTAGTTTTCATTGGTTCTCACTTATGTCCATCCTGGCAAATAGTTTAATGTGTGCAGGTTCTTAGATTTTTGCCTCCAGGACAGTACAATGGAGGTAAATATTGTCACAGAACCTGGACAAAAACAAAACCAAAAGCCTACTACCGGCACAGTCAAGCCCAAAAATGAGATTAGGTCAGTTTGGGGGTTTTTGGCGGCAGAGATGCAGTTGAAGCGTTAATGATGGCATTACAAGAGAGCGTGGGTGGATATGATGGATAAGGTCAATTACAATGAGGTATTATGTAAAATAGCAACAAAGGGAGCTGTTGTTTTCTTGCAATTGTTGTTTAGTGCTGTTGTAGATATTAATTTACATGGATAGTAAACCACAGAAAAAAATTTCACTTGAAAATTTGAAAGAAAGCTTCAATAAGAGTTTGCATGAGTGATGCAAGTTAGCAGAACAGCAGCTAGCCCTCAGGTGGACTCGTATTGACTCCCAACCCTACCAGTGAGCTCCAACGTTGGTAGGGGATGACGATTGATCCACAACAGGTACACAAACAGAAAAGCCATTCAAGACAGTTTACCAAGGTAAGAAATGTCGATTTCTTTATTACATTCAACAGTACAGTACACTGAAATTGCACATTTTCACCAGATATAGCAGCATTCTGACTGGCAAATGGACTAATCAATAGGCACATCCAAAACATTTAAACAGAAATACACACGTCCAAATGTGTTGTGGCCACTTTCTGACCACATTCAAATTCCATTTAAGCTGTTAATTTACATGCCTCATAAAACAAATTCTACGCAGCTAAAACACACCGTCCTTTCCCCCACGACTGTTTTCAGTGGCAAGAAAAGACGTACGGTCAAGTCAAACTCAGCAGCGCCTTATCTTCTTACAAGTACAATATTAAAGGAAAAATTCACCCGTTTATACTTTCACACAGTATGAGTCATTCAGTGCATTCAAAGAGTTATAAAGTGTTTCAATTTGCTTTTATGGTTTCCTTCAGTTGTCTACTTCACTTTAAGGTTTCTTTTATTACCCAGAATGACATTGTATCAGCCTCAGAGAAGAAGTGTGTACTGTGGGTTGAGTAGGTGGAGAGAGAGCCATAGCGTAGGAACAAGACAGCAAGTTTATTAAAGGTTGGATTCTTAGCAGGAAATGTCTTGTTGCTGCACTACAATCTGGTCTACTGAGCAGAGCTGGGTATCGAACTGAAACATCGTTTGTACTGAAAGCAATGTGTTGATAGAATCAAGTATTAAAAAGTGTCAAGTATCAAGAGCTGACATCAAATATTTTGACAGTGTTCAATTTGACTGCATTTCCGTAAAAATCTTCTGTTAGAACTGAAAAAAGCATTACTGTGGTACTGGTCCCAAGACTCGGGTTTTGTATCGACACTAGTATTGAGAGTTTTGCAACTATACCCAGCCCTACTGTGGAAGTTGCAGTTTAGAGAGATGAGTGTATCAACTGAGAATCAAATGGAGCCAGCAGATACAAACAGGACCATCTTCTGTATGATGAGCGGTTCTAAATGACCTGCTGCCCACTGAATATTATAAACAATGAAGCATGGTACTGTCCTGCTTTTAGAACAGTTGCCATGTTTTTCCCCTTTCAGTGGGAAGCAAAGGCCAAAACATTTTCCACATGGTGCGTCCAGTTGCCTTGTACCTTTTTGATATCCCATGGGTTATCTGTTGTTCTACTGTAAATGGGAAACAAACAGGCTCAGGGCAAGCCACACAATGCAACAAAGGTCGTTGGGTTGCTAAAGATGACCTGGGAATGAGACTTAATCAACTTTAAAAAACTGAAAGGGGTTTCAATGCAGTGGGCTGCAGCAAGAAAATGCTAGGTCATACAGCAAAAAAGTTGACCCTGACTCAACATTTGCCATAATGCAGTGGTGTCCAGCAATGCAATGTTCTGTTCAATCAAATATTTATTCTGTAATAAGAACGGCGTAATTCTACTCTTTATATTGCAATCTTCAAGATAGAGGAGAACATGATCATTGTTATAACCTTCCAGAGTACGGCTGGGTATCAAAACCTCAATACTATTTAGTGCCGACTATATTGTGTCTGCAGCATGGTTATCAAAAACTGTCAAATACCAGAAGCTGACATCAAGTGTCTGCTCGGATTTGTTGTTTTTTGGTTTACTTTTGATCAAAAAGTACAATGACTAGGGAGAACACATATGTCTGATCAAGTATTCTAAATTCAAGGTTAGCTTACTAAATATTTCTGGAAATTTCAACTGTATCCCATAACCTGAACTGGGACAGGGGTTACAATCTCCCAACCATATATACCAACTTGGTAACACATGATAGCAGTTCTGTGTATAGGTCACACCTGAGCAAGTTCCATTATTATAGAAGGCCGTGGCATACGGTCAAAAATGTAGTGGTTTGTGTTTCAACATTTAACATTTACAAAGTTGGGCTTCTTTGTCAAATAAAACAAGCTTTTGTATTCCTCAAGTAAGGACTGTTTTACCACTGAAACTCAGGTAGGGTATCGGAACTAGTATCAGAATATTTCAAACAATACCCAGCTCCTCTTCAAAGTTGTAAAATCCTGTTTAATGGTCTTATAAACCACGGTGCACAGGTGTTTGGTATCTGATAAGCCTTAAAACTCTCTTAAAACTCAAACTGGACTTGCTGTATTGTATTTAATTTTCTCATTGCTACCTGTAGCAACACGCCCCCACCAACGCAGCCTCTGGCCTTTTGTAATGCAGTGCTGTTTCATTTCTCAACATCTGCTCAAAGAAGTATACCACCAAACAACAAAACAGGCCCAGAACAGCAAGGTACTATATGTAAAGATGTGTTTTTAACAGTGTTAAAGTGTTTGAGGGTGGATTTCTCCTTTAAACCACAGAGCGATGCTCTCCACATACGTACACTGCGCTCGGCTGTATGCGCCTCTTTGTGTTGCCTGGCAGCTGAGGAAGAAACTTGAAGTACTTGGGCATCAGATCAAGGCAGGCGTCGCGGAATTTCTTGATCCGCCAGTAGTAAATGAGAGGGTTGAGGGCTGACTTGAGGTAGCACAACCACAGGACCCACGTGCTAATTTGAAAAAAGCTGTCTTTGTGGTAAAAGCCGTCGCTGAAGGTAGCTACCAGACTGTAGGCGGTAAAGGGTGCCCAGCACACTGTAAACACAGAGAAGAGGATGAGGATGGTGGTGAAGGCACGGGTCTTGAAGCTCATGTCTATGTTCATTTGGAAGGGCCTCTGCAGGCTCAGCAGGCCCAGTTTGCTGGCCTGGCTCAGACAGATGCTGTCTGGGTGGCTGTGGATGCGGATGGCGTTGTGGCGGATGGTGTTCAGGATCCCCATAAATGTGTACAGCATGACCATGAAAGGTATAAAGAAGAAGACTAGCAATAGTATCAATACATAGGCGTGGTAACCAGGCTCAACGCTGTGGCCAAATACACACTGAGGGGCCCTGGGAGGGATCTGTAGGGGAGGGGAACCAACAGCCAGGGGGAAAGAGAAAATGAAAGAGAGTCCCCATGTGACCACGATGAGCACTTTGGCTCTCTGTGGGCTCAGCTTATCTTGCTTCTGGACAATAATAAGAAAACGATCTATGCTTATTATAAGCAGTATAGCCACGCCTTCCATCACAAAGAACCAAAAGAGCATGGCCGAAACTCGACAGAAAACGTCTCCGAAAATCCACTTGGTGGTCACGACAGTAACCAGAGCAAAGGGCATGTTCAGGATGGCCAGCATCATGTCTGCAAACGCCAGGCTCGCCAAGAGGATGTTGATGGCCGAGCGCATGGCAGATCTCTGGTACACCATCAGGCACACCACCACGTTTCCCAACAGAGCCAGAAGCAGGATGGCGACCATGATGAAGCAGAAGAAAACCTGCAGAGGAAGGCTGATGCCTTGCAGGCTCTCCGGGGCCTCTGCTGTCGGCGTGAGTGGCTCCGGGGTTGACAGGGAGCCAAGGGAAGCACTCGCCATGGAGATGTTCTCCATCGACGGCCTCTTGGAAAGGTTCAGCAGCCCCGTAACGAGGCAGCAGAGACTGGCATTAATGTCCCCTGCCTCTGGAAGGGGAACAGTAGTGGAGTGAACCATTCTTCCCCAGGGTGAACAGGCATTGTTGACGGTGAGCTCACGCTAAACATGGCGCCGTAGATGCAGATATTCCCAGTTCAACGCAACATGGCGCCGTCTTCATGGCTGTGAGACCCTAAGATGTACACAAAAATGAAGTGAGTGCCAAGTAAATCAAAACGGCATGTCAGAGAGCATTATAAAACCAGATTAAACCAGCATCGTTTCCATCAAATTTCCCCTTGGAGTTGGAATGACCGTGACAGTGATCCTGTAATCCACTCAGGGTTACGCCTGCATCTCCCTAATTAATTCACACTGCTATAATCTCTCTGACCTACAGTCTCACCGAATGAGACAAAAATTATTAGTGCTGACGCCAAAAAAAAAAAAAAAAAAAAAAAAAGGTATTTAGTCTTTGGATGCTAAAAACGGTTCAAAGTGGATTTGCACTGCAGCCATTTCAAATTGATTTACATGCAAACTACTTCCCTTCCCTTATTCACAATTTGTTACTCACAGCTACAGTTCTGTGTGTACGAAAGCATGACGGATTCAATTACAGCATTATGATTACAGATAAAATGAGCCTTGGAACAGGCACATTAAGGCCTTCTATTCGTTTATATAGACTTCTCTAGAGCTCATCAAAAAATGTGTGCAGCCTGAATGAGATGATGACCTAAACAAAGTTAATCCAAAATTTGAAATGTATATATTAAATACAGAGCTGGAGTTAGGACATGGTTAGCCTAGTTTAGCGTAAAAACCAAAAGCAGGGGTTAACAGCTAGTCAGGCTTTCTCCAAAATTAAAAAAAAACATACCAACCAACTCAACATTTAAATACTTCTCATACATAACTCATTTGTTTAAAAAGGTACAGTTAACCCCAAACATACATATTTGTCCTCTTACCTGTAGTGCTATTTATTCACCTAGGTATATTCTCTCATATAATAGACCCTGGTGGGACTTGGCTTGTACTGCTCAAAGCACAAAAAAAGGACATTTGAAAAAACTTGTTTCATGTAGGAAGGATTTCTTTCTACCGAACTACACCCACCAACCACAGCTGAACGTTAGCTACCTCAGTGGTGCTAGGTGAGCTAGCTAACTTTATAGCTCAGCTACATGAAACTGCTAACAACAAGGTGTGTGGATTTTTTCGCCGCTCTGAGAAGCACAAGCCAAGTCCCATCTGGTCCCATTATGTTGTAGAGAAGGCAGACTGCGGCCGATATCTCCAAAACACAGCCACTAACACCAAAACAGTCCTGATGGATAAACAGCACCACAGGTAAGATGGAAAAATATATATATGTTTGATTTTGGGCTGAACTGTCCCTTTAATCTGTACATGAAGAGAAAACTAAAAAAAATAAATATTGTCATTTTACAGAGTTGCAGACTGGAACTATTTCTTGGCAAACAGCAGCCAGGTGTAGTGACCGTGTACAGCTTCCTAGAGTCTTGTCTTCACGGCGAGGTTGTCAGGTTTGATACCATCAAGCCTGTACACAGACCAAAACCTGTGCTCATTGACCATATCTGGAAAACAACACAGTATCCAGAGGCACAACAGAAAAGTGCTTGGTGGATGGATACACAGCTGTTCATCAAGAAACAGTTATGTTGTGTAACTCCTACTGTAAATATAACTTGTCTTTTTACATTCTGGTTTATGTATGGATTAAACAAAAGAGATACAACACGTTAATTAGTGAGCCTTGGACGGAGCCAGGCTTGCCTAAAGTCTTCATGCTAAGCTAGGCTAACCTGGTCCTGACAACAGCACAGTATTTACACAGACCTTCTCATTTCATCTCAGCAAGAAAGAGAACAAGTGCATTTCTCAAAATGCTACAGTTTAAACCAAAGTAGAGCAGCAAACCCGCAACTGGAAAACATTTATCTAAAAAGAAATAAAAAATCTCTCCTGTTTGCCTGAAATGTGATAAGAAATCCTGTTAAAGTGCTTTTCTTCCCCGCTGCCAGTAACCAACAGCCAGTGTTCAACTGGGGACAAGTCAAATACTGCAATAAAAACCCTTATCACTTGTATAAACATTGGACACTGTTATTTCAGACTGCCTGGTATCATTTACAATGGCCCAGCAGCAAATGCCAAATAATAAATGTGCAGTAGAAAAGACTCCATTTGTAAGTACTTAGTGTGATTCATTTTTACACATAAATTAAGTTTTTTTTTTTGTCCTTTTTTGTCCTGTGTGGGTGTTAAATTCCAATACAATTACATTCTATTATTATGAGAATGGTGCCTTTATGTAGCCGTGTTAAAACACAGGTTGGATGCTGCTCTGATACCTGGATATGTAGCCATTCAACAGATGGTGTTATCACCGTCACAAGACAGACAAGAGAGGAAAAGCTGTTGTAAGGAGATAAACAGGCCAGCGGCGGTGAAGTTGGGACAGACGCCGCTTTATTCATATGGTGATGATGAGCGCATTGTCTGCTGCTGTTACCCACTGCTTCATCACAATGAAGACCTGCTGAATGAAAGCAAAGTAAGAAATTGGTTTCATCTTGGCCTACTTCCCGCTCCATTCACTTCACGTTATCTGAGGACACGGGCCTTGCGGATCACAACACTGAGCAGACTGTGCAGCGGTCTACCTCGACAGGGAAGGTAATGTCACATCTCTTTCCTTCCTTTAGGGGCAGAGTGACCTAAAATGTTAAAATAGCCACTTCAGCCTCTGAGCAATCAACTAACCTGCAGTAAAAATGGATGATCGGGTACTCGACGTTCTCAAACACTGGGAATTGTTCAGATACGGTGTGTGGCAACGTAATTATGCAACGGGGAATTGCAGAGAGTGTATACCGAGAGCTTTTGAGCCAAATCTTGTAACCTTGAGTTGTTAAAGAGTACACTTTGGAGACAAAAGTGTACTGAAAACCTGCATAGATAGTCCATGACGGTAGGACTGACTAGATTATGGCAATAACAGCCTGTCAGAGGGTACCTTATTTGTTTCAGGTAGTAATGGTAATAATATAATAACAGTGAAGATGTGTCTGTGAAAGAGAAATACCTCACATATTCTATTCTCATATAGTCATAAGTGATTTCTGGACATTTACGTATGGGAGATTTGATGGAGATACAGTAGTTACAGCAGATTCTATATTAATATCTGTGGAAAAATTAATTTCTAAAATTGAATAAACTGCCATAACACATTTACAGGCATGGATTAAGTGTTGGGACTATAGATATACGGATGTAAAGAAATGCCATAACAAATCAAATAAAACTGAGCACAAGAATGTCCCTTTTATTTGAAATTCGAACAACTGTGCCAAAAGGAAAATGTACTGGTATATTCTGTAAGGGTAGTGGCTTAAAAACAAAAACAGTGTGAACATGACATGGGTTGTTTATCCAGTGAAAGACGTTTATGTTGCCTTATCAGTAAACAAGTTTGTTGTTCTTCTTTTTGATAACACAAAATTGAAAAAATAAAAGTTGCGCCAAATCACTTGAGAGGTAATTTAAGCCTTTTGGATTCAATAAAGCTGCGTATGAAGGCAAGGCTGATTACTGACTATTTAAAATGCAACTGCCTTCGTTGTTCCCCAGGGATGCAGTCTGGGTCAATATGATGTTTCTTTGTTATTATTTAGTCACTTAGTTAGAGATAGCAGGGTTTTTAAAAAAAATCTAAAATCCAGTAATTCTGAATTTTTGACAGGTTTGGTATAAAGTTGCATTTTTCAGTTTAATTTATTGATCATGCTGTAACAACTACAAAACAAAACAGGCTTACCAACTGATTGGCCAATTAATTGGTTTCTTGTCATGTGCTAGATTTTCTAAATCCTGAAAACAGAGCCAAGAGGAGGTATAGAAATCTAGTTTTCTCTCAGACCACTTGAATTACATTATGCTGGAAGGCTGTTATGGAATTTTTGCCCAATGATGCCAAAAATAAACTGCCCACCATTGCCTTTAATCTGACTTTTTAGGCCCAAAAATGACAGAATTTGACTAACTTAATGCAAATATTTTAGATTTTTTGAATAGCAAACAGTTGATTTATATTATAGTATTGATTGTTTTTCAGAAATACTTTTAGTTCACGTTTTTTACATTGCGAAACAACCTTTGGTGGCACATTTTAATGCTACAGATGCTACAGTGACATTTTAACTTTAACATTTGGTATTCAGCAGCGATTACACTCCACATATCAGGCATTCAGTTGCACATGTGAGCATTGCAACAACTGGTAGATAAATCTGTGACATGAGCTCGCAGGTGTCCTGAAAACTGACCCAATTCTTCAGAAAATCAATGTCAAACACAATTACACCTCCTTCAGACCTTCACTCCATCGACCTGAAATAATTGAGGCCAACTCTGCAGCTCACTGACCGCCTTTGCAGTTCGACATTGGAGCATCTTGTTTAGAAATGATTCGCTCATTTGTAATTTAAATCCAGCCTCACTGTTGCGTTGTTATGCCACCAAAATGGTTGAGACGACAAACTGAGTGATTCATGGAGAGTCCACGGAGAGTTCCACCTCTGTGGACGACGAGGGCAGCAGCGGGTGTTCTCAACGGAGAGACCACATTTTGCTTTCATGTCGGGATTTAGCAGACATATTTAAGAGAAATAACAGTTGAATTGCGTTACTGGCGGTTTCCACTGACATTACCTGCTTCATTCTCCCATGTCGAAGCTCAGGAGCGGCTGAAGCTCAGTCCTCCAAATGGTGCATCTCGCCGCCCAAAAAACGCGTCCTCCTCTCTCCTCCGTGTTCTGGAAACACTTCTTCTAGCAGACAAGTTAGCTACGCTAATGTGCTTTTATCACAATTTAACGTCAGCTGGGTAATTTTAACAAACAGTGCGACAGCCGGCGGTCCCGCTAACGCTACCTAAACAACTGGAGCTGAAGTAAAATCCGCATTTGGTTCAGTCTCGCTTTGTTTCCAGAGGAGCTCGAGACAGACAGCGCTGGTCACAGGGAGTGAGCTCGTGTCTTCCGGCCTGCCTTCCCATCCTCTTCCCCGCAGACAGATGTGAGGTGTTAGCGGCCCATCCTCCAGCACCGAGCGTATCAGGCTGTGTACTGTATGTGGCCCAAATTCTCACTACACTGTTACAAACTATTCGCTCACTGTGCTCTAACCTGCGGCAAGGCAGCGACACTGAACAAACACCACTTCCTGTCTGGATTTTCAAAACAAATGCCACTACAGAGCAGGGAGAACACATCTCATTGCAGCCAGTACTTGAGGCTATATGGACATCTTTAAATGAACAGACCCCCAGTAACAGGGGAGGATATGGACCCCCCAATGTGACAAAAAAAAGTAATTATAATGAAAAACATTCTCAAAATATTGACTTCAATAAATAAAAATAATGACATAATTTTAAGCCAATATATTTCAACAACTATAACAACTTCACTCACAGTTCCACAATCTCTGACACACACACACACACACACACACACACACACACACACCCAGATCAAAGTTTTTTCTTCATTTTATGATTTCTTTTCTTTCTACTCTATAGTTTCTTAATGCTTTGACAATATTGTCTTTGTTGCCAATAAAGCAAACTGAATTGAAAAGTGCAACAAAAAAAAACTACAAAAATACAAACACAAATAACCATGGAAGTGAATTTCATTCAGGGTTTAATGTGTGATGGACTCTTATGTATTGTCCTGTTTTATGTATTTACTGTTCTGTGGTTATGTCCTGCAAATAAGCTGTTAGCTAACTGTGATGCAATTACCTTTTATTGTGTGCTATCGCAGTAAAAGCGCAGTGTAATATTCCCCATACGAATTGCATGTCTAACAGGGTAGAGAAGGCTTTAAACATTATTTAAACCATTTTGTAGGGCGATACAATGACTCACACAACAGTTAAATTTATGTGTTCAAATATAATTATATATTTTTAATTTACAGAGTCTGGTTGGTGGCTAGTTGAAATAGTCTTTGGTAAGCATTTCTAACATCCCATCTATGGATCTGGCGTAAATACTCGGTAAAAAAAAAATAGGCAACTTAATCTGTTTAAGCAAAAGCAAAATGTAATTTACGTTTTAATGCACAGAAAACCCCAGAAAATGTACTGCACCTTAATTGTGTATGAACTGCCATGATTACACTGAGCACATTGTTTTTCTTTCTATTAAGTGACTGCTTTATTTTGAAGGGACAACAGCCCAGTTCCGGGCAGCATTGGTGCTCTCTGTGGTTCCATTGACGCAGCTTTGTATTCAGTGATAACTGACACCTACAGAAGCCAGTTGCATGGGCAAAAGTGGACTTTTTGTGGGGTACGCCCCATTTCCAGCATCGTCCAATAGAAAGAGCTAACTGCAAACAAGTGGGCCTGGCTTGGTAGGAGGAAGTGCTGTTTTTGGACACGTGCGGGTGTGAGGTGGGTGGTAAAGAGGACAAATGGAAGCTTGTTACTGCAAAAGTAAGCTGAGTGTAATCAAACTCTAACTGTTTACAGCGGTAGGGCTCTGAAATGATCTTAATATGATTTAAACACAGCAGAGACAGAGCACAGGAGATTAACATGTGGGACTTTAATGAGGAACAACCCGTACAACCACATTCAATAAAGGATGCAACTGCTAAAATAACATAAAAGATCAAATAAACCTTTAAAGAAGTGTGCGTATGTGCAGCGGATAGGTTTAAGGGCCACAGGATCATTCTGATATTATACGTTTTAAAGCTTCCGTCAGTCCACCACTGGCTGCTTCTTGAAACCACGTACATAAAGGCAGAGTCCGTCCCAGTGAGACAACAGGAGGCTCCCAAATATTTGACAAAAAAAAGATGTTTAAACGTTCTGAATGATCATGGGTTGATCATTGAGTCATCAGAGGTTCCTGTCTTCCTGCTCTGTGCATCCCCCCGTGCTGTATGAGTTATGACTATCAATGCTTTCCCATCAGGCTGTTCAGCTCATGCAAAATAAGTCACACACAAACATTTCACATTTGTTCCCACATAAATGAGCCTGACGGACGCAGGCAGACATTAGCATTGTTATTTGACTTTTCTCATCATTTAAAGTTGAATCTGTCCTTTTGACCGCTTACCTTTGGTCTGTGTTTACCCTACTATTTCATTTCACAACGGCTGCTGTGGAAACACTCTATGGGCCTTTTGCCCAGTAGGAAAAGTAAATAATCAAATGAATGATGGCTGAATTCCATTCCACTTTCTCTGCTTCCATTTCTAATTTATTGACCCACAAACACACTAATACAGATATACCTGTGAGAAGCTCATATCAGCCGGGCTTATTTTTCCATCTTGCTGATAGGGAGGGAGCTGGCAGAATTTATGGGTTTAGTTACACTTTAAGGACTGCTGATGCTAACAGCTTCAAACTGAGAATCTTTCAGATCATTGTTGAATCATACTGAAATAAATGGCTATGAATTCTAGACAATGCTGTTTTCACTGGACAGATACTACAGGGTATATAGTCTTCTATACCATAAAGGCAACAGTCCAACAGTTTGGTAAGAAAGCTTACTTGGAACTGGAGTCGGGATGTGGTTAGCCTAGCTTAGCATAAAGACTGGAAGCAGGGGGAAACAGCTAGCCTGGTTCTGTTCAAAGTAAAAAAAAATACTGTCTCATTATAATCTGTATACAAAAAAACCTTTTAAAATCCTAATTTGTTGTTTTAGAGGAAGTTATGCGCTTGAATTATTTCTTCCTGGCGATCTTTATGCTAAGCTAGGCTAACCTCCTCGTGGCTCCAGCTCCGTACGAACACACAGACATCAGACTGGTATCAATCGTCTCATCTCACTCTCAGAAGGAACAGATAATAAGTGTGTTCCACAAAATGATGAACTATTCCTTTAAAGCAGGGTCTCTCAACCCTTTGTGGACCTTTGGCCCCAGTGCAAGAAACCACTAATCTCATGAGAATGTATGAATATGTTTGTATTCTATTACATATCAGAGGAATCTTCAGATGGATCATAAAGAATCCATTCTTAACAGAAAATATTTGTACGTATTTATTCATTGTATTATTTTAATTTCTTAGTTTGTTTCACAAATATTAGACATATCCCATGATTCCATCTACATATCAAACAACCCCACATAAGGTCCAAATCCCAGGCTTGAGAAACTCTGCCTTATCAGTCTCAATCTGATGACTGTCCCAATGTGTTTTATTATTGACATACATAAATAAATCAAGTAACATCCTATTGTTTACCATTCACAAATAATCCAGTCCTAAGAACTATTTATCTGCTTGGCATTTTCAGTCTTGGGCGGTATGATTTTGACCTCGAAGGGGATGAAGAACTCCAGAAGATCTTTTGTGTCTTTCAAGTCCAGAGAATAATCCTGAGCGATCTTTTCCGGCGTCCACGTCTGAGGCTGCTGCTGGTGGCCGCCCAGGGCCTTCAGAGCCTCTGCGATGGTCAGTTTGCCTTTAGGGACGTCTGTGAGCTCCACCATACCATATGGGGCCACTGGTAAACTGAACTTCAACGGCCGCCGCTCTGCTACAGGCACGTCCTTCGATGCCTGTGGGAAGATAAAGAGGAAGGAAATAAGATTTAGAACAAACTTTAAATTCACTATAGATATTTGTGGTTCTTAGTTTTTCTTCTAGTAACACCATCAGACCAGGTTTAAAGCTGCACTAATCCTATACCTATGTATGATTGTGAAAAAAAATATAAATATATAATAAACAAAATACAGACAGAGGATTGTCCAGAACAACTGATCAACTGCAGGAAGGTTGATATTTGTATACAGTTATCTGTCTGTGTTATGTATCGCATAATCTTCATTTTTAAACAATCATACAGACTTAATAGGCTCCCTGATGCTGAAGCTCTTCTGTTGTTAGAACCGCATACGTTTTTAATGCCACTGTCTATGTTTTTAAAGTTTTCTTACACCTTATAATATTACATTTAAATAAGGCCTTGTTTTCTGTGGCGACACCTAGTGGGGGTCCCGACCCCCAGGTTAAGATAATGTAAGATGTTCCTTTATTCAGTCAGATCAGTCTGCGGCTGAAAGTGCTCCCGAGCTGCTGTTGGAACCACTGTCCTGTATCCCAGCACTCATATAGCTTGTTTCCTCCTGCACTGCTGCTGCCTCTCAATAATGTCACCTTCTCCGTACGGAGTCTTCCTCACTTTGTCTGGTTAAGCTCTATGAGTGGCAGCAGTGCCTCAGTGAGCGCCTGGTTGAGAGCAGCGGGCTGAGCAAACACAGTAGAGATGGACTGAAAGCGTTCACAGTGTCAGTACAGTCTGCTGAACCACACACACACACACACACACACACACACACACACACACACACACACACACATACTTACATATACACAGACACAGACACACACATACATACATACATACACACAGACAGACACATACATACACACAGACAGACACATACATATACACACACACACACACACACACAGACAGACAGACACATACATACACACACACACACACACATATACATACACACAGACATACACACAGACACACAGACACAGACATACACACAGACATACACACAGACACACAGACACATACATACACACAGACATACACACAGACACACAGACACATACATACACACAGACATACACACAGACACACAGACACATACATACACACAGACAGACACACAGACAGACACATACATACACACAGACAGACAGACAGACAGACACACACACACACACACACACACACACACACACACACACACACACAGGGAGTGTGTAGGCAGTCTGACCTCTGCTGCTGCTGCTGGGTCTGTGGACTGCACATACACCGTCCTGAGGAGGGCCAGCAGGGGGTCGTTCTTCTGGTTCACAGTCTCCGCTGCAGAGACACACAACAGACTGCTTAACAGGGAAACGGTGTCCGACCTTTCATTGCCAGCTCCATTCATACAGCCGGACTTACAGCCGGACTGACCCCCAGCACAGTTACACAGGTTCGGACACTCACCTTCAGAGGCGGCGGCGGCGGCGGCGGCGGGCGGGGGGCGGCCGCGTGTCGGGGTGCTGGCAGCGGCTTCTCCCTGGAGATTTCTCGGTGTACCCGGTTCTCTAGGTTGAAATTTCTGAACATACGCACAACCCGTGCCCCCATGTTCGAGAAGTTACCAAACACTGCTGTCAAAGTGTCGACGGCGAGAGAGAAGGTTCAGTGAAAAGACGAACGCAGGAAGTGACAGCGACACCACGCGGCTGGAAGATGACATTGTTCCTCTTTTTTTTATTTTCAAAGTACACAGGAAATACATCTATTTGTTTTTTTATGGAAACACAGGGCAAATAAAAACATGAACTTATTAAAAAAATACAACTACAAGTCATAAATCTCCAAAAATTGGAATTATGAGGAAAATAGTCATGAGAGTCATCATCATATGTATGATATTTTGTTCTTGATCTAATAGATGAATCTCAAGTGTAAAGCATACAGTTCATCTCTGCAGGCTGCTGTTTAAGATGAGCAGTCACACAGCCAGCAGGTGGCAGCATTTCCTATCCTAACACACTGAGAAAGGCCTGGTCAATAAAGAATGGCTGGCCTCTGTGTGAGCTTCATCTTTTATCAGTGCTGGTTTCCGTCTGTTTGTCCCAATGAGCTTCCATTTTGTTAGCAAATGAACCACATCCATCCATCCATCCATCCCCAAGTGTTCTGACCAGGCCTACAGCAGAGGTCACTTTTCTATATAAGGGGAGCCATATGGAGCACATCTGGAAGCCATTATCTGCTCAATCACAACAAAACATCCCACAGCATTTTTGCGAGGAGAGGGGTGGAAAGATATTCTTCTCATTTCACTCACATTACTGCTGCACGCCGCCTGAGTGTGGAGCTGATGAAAGTCACAAAGTCAACAACAGGCCAGAGGTTCTCAGCCAATGACGCTTCTCAGTTACATCAGAGCTCCGTCTGCACGCAGGAACAAACTGAGCAACCAAACTAAACAGTGGCAGACAGAAATGTGAAAAAAAGAAAGAAAAACACCAAAGCGCTGTGAAAATGAATTTATTCCACTGGTGATAAAACACTGATCCCTGATTGGTTCTTTGCATGGGAGTGTTTTTGATTACTGTTTATCATTTCAATCTGATGTTATTTACTGCGCGGAGAAACACTTCAAGAAGGCGGCTCTGAGGCACGTTGATGCATGTGAGGCTGGGAGGGCGAGGTGGAGTCCGGTGTCTAGACTGTGTTGACTTGCGGAGTTACAACAGATGTGCATCAACATTGTCATTAAACAAATATAAAACCTTCCACTGTTCAAAAGTCCATCACTGCTTAGGCGGGCTTAGGGAATTACTCCAGAAAATCTGTTTGTCTGCAGATTTTGTATGTATTCTTTATAATGCAGCGCGGATTCCAGCAGTGAATTGTTTAAGAGTTTGACAAACAAAGTTGAGGGTATGTTTATGGATGATGAAACAGTACTTCAAAGCCAGTATGACTACACGAGTGCTGAGCTGTCCTTCATAACCATATTAGCTCATAGCGTCCTTTAGGAATGGTACAATGGTGGCCAGGAGAGCTCAGCACACTGCAAAGGATACATCTGGTGAGATTCAGCAACCAACAATGAGTGTAGCCTTCTTTCAAGTACTGTGTAACAGCTAGTAAATACATAACTGGCTGGCCACAAGGCACCCTCAGCCCCTGATGTAATAGTTCTCGGTTCTAGACTCGCAAAGTGCGGGTGCCATGCTGGAACAAGGTTCCCTGGCCTAAAGCCCGCTCTTTGGCTGTTGAAATACAACTGGTTCGAGATTAGTCACTGGCTCCGAACTGGCCCATGGTGAAAAGGGCGTATGTGAGTATCAAGGGCTGATGTTCCTCTGTGCCATAGAGCTCCATCAAAAACACATCAGTGGGCCACACTAACTGTGTTTCCATCCAAATGTATAGAACATCTTATCCGAATTTTGTGAAAATCTGCAAAATCTCATATAAATCTGCAAAAGAAATTGCAAATCAATGCTTGTTCCCATTCATTACCACTGCGGTTATTAGGAGCAGCAACAGCTCATCAGTTACGTGTTTGTTATGTCAGAAGAAATTGAAGATTTGTTTCCAGCTGCCATGAAGAGTATCTTCTAATCCCTTCAAGCGAGTGTAAAAACATTTTTGTGGAACTGTTTAGAATTTAGTTGTTTTCCAGCAACCGTTCCTGATGAGATCCGTCACATCAAAATACATGCTGATGGAAACACCACTACTGTGCTATTGGGGGACATCTTCCTTCATTACCATGAACACACAGCTGTAGTTTATTTTGACTCAGTGCCACATACACCATCGGGCTGCCCCACATACTCACTAGAGGAACAAACAAGTCTTTATCTGCTGCTGAAAATAGTTCCAGACAAATGTACTGTTACCTCCTGTTTGAGTTAACTTTGATAAAAACTAGTGACAAGCTGTTTTAGGAAATGACTGAGCCTTTTCTAAAAATAACACTACATATATGGATACTGAAGATTTACCTCTTCAGTATGACTGGATGGGCCTGGGGCTGAGAGAAAGCAGACAGGGCGGGGAGAAGCATTGAGAGAGACTAACACGTTGTTGATCTGGGTCTTTTGAGCTTTGTTGACAAAAAGAAAAATAAAGAACGTTGACGTTATCCTTGAAATGAAGAAAAGATCTTCACTTTGACAACACGCCGCATTTATAAGTAAATGCTGCAAATAAATAAAGCAAGAGACATGTGCTGGAAATGTAAGCATGTTAAGAAACATCAGCTGCATGCTGTACACAACAGAGCCACGCTGCACCACAATAGCACTGATGCGTTCATCTCACTATGTTCCAACTTGTAAATAGAATTCTTGTGACTTTTCTGAAATCTCTGATGGATCCGACTTGCTGCTTCATAATACAGTACCGTCATAGCAAACATGGCTGTCTTACATCCGCCTAAAATGGAATATATGGTGTTTTATTGTGCACAGTATGTTTAACCACCATAACCCACTCTGCAGTTATACAAATCTTGAGTTGTATGATGATGTGAACACATTAACATGGGAACCTTTGCCACCTCTACCATCCACCCCATACGACACGGCAGCGACATTAAAACTGATGAGCATGCTAGTACATATCGAAGAGGCTAGTGCTGGCTGCTTTTTTACAGCAGACATTTTGACAAGCGTAATGACATTAACAGTGGCTCTGTTCTTTTCGAGCCAACGTGAACAATACCAGGACCCTGAAACTGAAGCAGCCGAATGGAATTCAGCCATCATTCATTCATTAGTTACACCTCTGCTTTTCCTACTGTAACATGTCAGAATGTCCTCTGTGAAAGAGATCTATGGCCGAGCTGCAGTGATACTGCACTATACAAACGGTATGGTCTAAAACACACTGCAGTGAAGTTGTATACAGCTATGGGGACATTTGTCTGTGTTTATAAGTGTTTTTCAACAATTACAACTGTACATACTGTCCATTATCACTACAGTGATAGTAAGTTGTCTCCACTTATGGGTGTCCACATGAGGAGAAATAAGGGACTGCTAACAAATACAATAATAAACACTTCTGCTTGCTGTTGGTTGTGTTTAAATAATGTATTCTATATATATATATATAAATATATACATGCTAAATATGTGTGTTACCTAAATGCTGAATGTTCTTTAGCCAAAGCTGCAGTGTGTGGAGTTGTCTTGGCCATACATTTTTGAGTTCACACATTCACTTGACACAACACACAATGGATACACACCTATGCACGTAGTAATTTTATTTACAAATGGTAAAAAAAGAGACCATAAAAATATATCTTGCTTTCACATATATACATTTAAATGTATTTCTATGAACTGTGTGGACAGAATCAATCTCAAGTACAGATGAGGCAACTGTATTATAATAGTGGCTAACCTTGAGATCTTTGATACAAGGCAGGACCTCTGAACACTACAAAGGACAAACTTCCCACAGACTCGGTTCTAAAGCTCCACAGAAGCTTATTACATCAGAGGTGGTCTGGTTTTCATCTTGGCAATTCTTCAATTCCTATTTGGAATCAGTTGTTTTTCCTGAACACCCATTAGGTAGATCTTATGTGTATTAGAGCAACTGTTAGAAAAAAAAACTGAAATTTAAAGAATAAAGTCATAATATTATGGGGGAAAAGTCATAATGTTATAAGAATAAATGCTACTGAGGCAAATTTTTCATTTTGGGATATATAAAAGAAAATTGGCCCTACGAGAGAAAAATCATAATATTAGGAGAATAATGTTGTACTTTCTAGAAAAAGTCCTAATATTACTAGAAAAATAGCATAATATGAAAATGGACCCATAATTTTAAGAAAAAAGTCATAAAATCAAGAGAATAAAGGTCATAATATTACGAGAATAAAAGTCACACTAGAATAAAGTTGTAATTTCAAGAAAAAGATTCGAAAAAAAATCACAATATAAAAATAAACCTGGAATTTGAAGAAAAAAGTCATAATATTAAGAGAATAAAATTCATATTATTAAAGATAAAATTAATATTACTAGTATAAGTTCATAATTTGGAGGAAAAAGTCATAATGTATGAAGATTGTAACTTTACGAGAAAAGTCCGCACAGACTAAGTATAAACAAGTATTTAAATAAGCATCTTGTAACATTATACTTTTATGAATTATAATTTAATTTATGAATTCAAAACATTCATAACATAAGATTTTTTTTCTAGCAAATTTACAACTTCATTCTCAAAATATCACCACTTGTAAAATTATAACTTTCTCGAAATCTCAAATCTTTTTCTAAAAGTAGCCCTAATATTCTGGCATAAGATCTGGCTCAGACTGAGGTGTGTCACCATGTTAGCACTGTGTGTGAGAGCAGGACGAGTAGAGGTACAGTAAGATGAAGCAGTCGATCAGAAGGATGGTGTAGAAACATCTCTGCGTGTGCAAGCTTCGACCCCTCTGAAAACGAGTCAGTATCACAGCCAGCAGCAAGAAGAAGGTGGCGGTGTTCATGAGGAGAAAGAGTCTGATGTAGGAGGCTGTGCTGGAGAGACCCTCGCTCCCTGCCGTGGCCACCATGTGAACCTCCTTGAATTTGCGGCCCTTGACGAAAGCCCCCTTTCTGTTTTTGCGGCCGTCTGTATAATCCATAAAGGCCCGCGAGTCTGCATCTCCCTCCTCTG